AGCTTGCTTGAAGGTGATTATGGAATCTTCTATCTAAAATAAAAAATTAAAAAAAAGAATTTTGGAAACTAAGTTAACATGAAATTTTTTTATTGAAGTATTAACTGGTTAAACCAAATTTAACAATGGGTATGGTTACAACCAAATAAAAAACAGCTATCAATAGAAAAAATTATTGGAAGGAGGGAGAGTTTCAAATGCTAACACTGATTTGGAGGGGCAGTAAGTTAGCCGTGGGCAAGGTGGTTTTTTTTTACAAATTTTCTTTACTGTTACATATTACTTTTTCTTCATCTGTTGCTTTAAAAACTACATACATGTTTTTAAAATTTTTTTTAATATGTTTTTGTTGATTTTTTTTTTTTTAGAGAGATAGAGAAAGATAGAAACATCAATGTGAGCCCAGATGTGGTTCAGTGGGGTGTGGCTCAGTGGTTGAGCATTGACCCATGCACCAGAGATTGCTGGTTCGATTCCCAGTCAGGGCACATGCCCAGGTTGTGGACCTGATCCCCAGTGGGGAGCGTGCAAAAGACGGTCAGATGATGTTCTCTATCATCAGTGTTTCTATCTCCCTCTCCCTCTCCCTTTAAAATCAATAAAGAAAAAATATTTAAAAAAGAAACATCAATGCCCTGGCCGGTTTGGCTCAGCGGTTAGAGCTGAGGTCTGGAGAGACCTGGGTTCGGTTCCTGCTAAGGGCATGTACCTCGGTTGCAGTTTGTTCCCGGCCCTGGTTAGTCATGCAGGTGGCAGCCACTCGATGTGTCCCTTTCACATCGATGTTTTCCTCTCTCTCTCTTCCTTTCTCTCCCTCCCACTCTGTCTGTACAAAAAATGGAAAAATGTCCTCGGATGAGGATTAAAAAAAAAAAAAAAAAAGAAACATCAATGTGAGAGAAAGACATCGATCGTCTGCTTCCTGCTTACCCACTACGGGGATCGAACCCCACAATCTGGGCATGTGCCCTGACTGGGAATTGAACTGGGACCTCTCAGTCCATGGGAGGATGCTTAATCCACCGAGCCACCCTGGCTGGGACATGCATGTTTTTTGGGTATATGTTTGGTATGTGGCTTTCTAGGTCTTTTTCTGTATATTACATATTTATCCCTCCATACATACACATATGCCATGTTTTATCTTTTTAAATGGAACTATCTAAGTTAGCCTTAGGGTAGAAGAGAAATTATAAAAGTGCTTCTCTGAAATTGCTTTTGAGAGAATGTCTCAAAGGCTCTAGTTTTTGGCTTTGATGTTTTTGTTAAGGATCAGTATAACTTCTGATAGTGGAAACTGATTATTGCTTCAGCCAAAAGCCCTGATATAAAGGATAGACACAAGGCAGTTTGTTGTTCTTACAGCCCTGAAACATGTATCTGATGACATGAAGACTCATAAGAACCCTGCTCTCAAGGCCCAGAGTGGTCCAGTACGAAGTGGCCCCAAACCATTCACTGCACCTAAACCAGGAGTCAGCCCATCCCCTAAACCAGCCACAAAGAAGGAGCCAGCTCTACTTGAACTGGAGGGCAAGAAATGGAGAGTAGTGAGTTAATAATGCCGGGATTGGGGGAACAAGGAGTGGATGGGTTTAAATTAGTACAGTCAAATGAATGCAGGTTTCTGACTTAGATTGCAAGAAGGAAACTTTGGTATAGTCTGTTTTGGGGGTGGTGTATACTTAGTGATGAGATTGCTAAAAAACGGTATCTCTTTAACAGGAAAATCAGGAGAATGTTTCCAACCTGGTAATTGATGACACAGAACTCAAACAGGTGGCTTACATATACAAGTGTGTCAACACGACATTGCAAATCAAGGGCAAAATTAACTCCATTACAGTAGGTGAGTTCTTGTACTAAGCATGATCTGTTTTAGAGTCTGAGGCCTGGAACCATACCTACTCTGTTCCTAAGATTCTTAAAATATATTCCTTTCCTTTCAAGTTATACTGTTGACCTGCTCCCTTTCTTCTCCTAGATAACTGTAAGAAACTCGGTCTGGTGTTTGATGACGTGGTGGGCATTGTGGAGATAATCAATAGTAGAGATGTCAAAGTTCAGGTAACTTGATATTTTGGTCCCCGAGGAATTAATTGAAAGAGACACGGCCGACCCACAGATGTTGCTGTGGTGGGAATCTGATTCTACAAAGTCTGTAAGCTGAGCTGCTTTGGATGTGGCAGGAGAGGAGTTGGCTCTTCGAGTGAGCTTTTTCCAGCACCCATCCCAGGCTGCCTGAGTATCCAATATCTGTTGTGCACCTGCGAGCTTTTCATGTAGTTGATGAATCATTTGAAATCGTGAAAGCTTTCCCTGTAAATTTCTGCTGTTCTTCCCAGCTGCTGGGACTTAAGTGTTGTTGGTGTTCTCTGCAGGTAATGGGTAAAGTGCCAACCATTTCCATCAACAAAACAGATGGCTGCCATGTGTACCTGAGCAAGAATTCCCTGGACTGTGAGATAGTCAGTGCCAAATCTTCTGAGATGAATGTCCTCATTCCTACAGAAGGCGGTGACTTTGTAAGTTTCTTGATCTTTTTAGTAGTAAGATCTAAACACAGAGGGGACTGAAGACTTCTTACATTAGACAAAGCTAGCTGACGGCAGTCCACACTTCAAGCACAAGAGAAGTGTGAGGTAGTCCCACGAAGTAGTGCTCCAGAGGAGGGTGGTGTCTGCCTTTCTTAGGTTGAGCTCAGTGTAGTAAAAAGCACCCCGTTGAGTTGGTATCATGAAGGCAACACATTCTCATTTATGCCTCATAGGTTTAACAGTCTGTCCAAGAGCACTGCTCAGTGAACTGTACAGAACAGATTCAAGCCTATACCTGTCTGGCTTTGGAACCTTTGTTCTCACCCTGCACTGCAGAGCTACCTCGTTGTGTCAGTGGTAGGGGAGGTGGTAGTAGATGTAGCTTTTTCAAGTGGGTTGTTTGCCTTACTACATCCCACCTGTTCTCAGAGCTTAGTGGAAGCAAGCACTGGAAGAAAAGTGTAAGATTGAACCCCAACTTATTTTTTAGGTCATATTTAAACTTGTTTGTTTATTTGCAGAATGAGTTCCCCGTCCCTGAGCAGTTCAAGACCCTATGGAATGGGAAGAAACTGGTCACCACAGTGACAGAAATTGCTGGATAAGCGAAGTGCCACTGGGTTCTTTGCCCTCTCCCTCACACCATGGGATAAATATCTGTCAAGACGGTTTTTTTGTAGATTTCCTCTACCTTTCTGCTCTTAAACTGCTTCTCTGCTTTGAGAAGCACAGCTACCTGCCTTCACTGAAATATACCTCAGGCTGAGATTTGGGGTGGGATAGCAGGTCATTTGATCTTCTGCAGGAAGGTGCAGCTTTTTCCTATCAGCTCAACCACACCACCAGTCTGTTCTTAAGGAACTACAGACCAGGACTGATGTGTTTTAGCTTTCAGCCTTTGGGGATTATTCCACCAACAGTCTTTTGGGAATAAAAAAGCAGTCCCCAGGAATTTACAGCTCAGAAAGTTCACAAATTAATCTTTTCCTAACAATGAGCATGAAGGTAGCAGAAGCTGGTGTGATTCCAGCTGGTTCTTCTAACCAGACTAATTTTTCACTGTTGACAAGTGAGGCAAGGGTTGCACTGGACCAAAGGCTTCACTTGGCCATCTAGCATTCCAAGCAAATTTGATTCCTGTATGTATTCCTTTTATTCTGCATTCCATCCTGGCTCGGCCTGAACCTGAGCTTGTAGGTTCTCCTGAACAAGTTGCTGTGGGCAGTGCCCTGCACCCAGGCCAGTTTGAGTCTTAGACCCTTTATTTCTCTGGGATCCCTGCCCAGCACCTTCCTACAGAGATGGCTTAAAAAGAAAACAAAGGGAAAAACACCACACCATTCCAAGGAATCTGGCATTCCTTCCTCCTTCCATGCTAGGTGCCTGTCATCCATCTTCACTGTCTCCTTTGCCCTGTTATGTTCAACAGCTTTTGGCTTCTGTCCAGGCACCAGAACAAAGGACTAAAATCTCCATTGCAGGCTGGTTTTCAGTCTTATGTAAGAATCTTGCACAGCATTGCTCATGTAAATTTCAGTTGTTCCCTCTAGGACAAACACATACCAAAATATGCAACTTTTTTTTTTTTTGGTGGGAAGAGAGATTGTCCTGTGAATTCTACCCATTTCCTGAGGCCTGTAGAAATAAACCTTTATCTACTTAAAGTTATACAGAAAACAGAATAAAATTAATACCAAACTTGCTTAGTATTTACCTATGATATTTACTGCACAGAGATGTAAGATTATTGAAAACAAACATGACACAAAGGATAAGAAGTTACTCTTTAATTTAGGCAACCTCATAAAATTCTTTTCACATCCCCCCACTTTTTTCCCCAAAGCTTCATCTTTTAGTTGAAAAACAAGGCTTGAAGAGAGATGAAGGAAAAATCATAAAGGGTCAGCTTTACAGCACTAAGGTACTTCTCTCACGCGTAGCTACTCATTTCCCCGAACTGGCGTTCTGCACAAGTCTTTCAAAAAGTGTTCACAGGGAGGGGAGTGGGGGCCAAGATGTTCATGCTCAAAATGTGTAGGAAATGGTAGATTAAGATTAGTTTTCTTTACCATAACAGGAATTCTCAGAGTCTAATATTCTAATGGGTTGATCTCCAAAAGGAGAAAATGAATATGCAATATTCCCCAAGCTTTTTGAGCAATTTTTTTTTTCCCACAGAACACATCAGAAAAAAGTTTGGAGTGTACTGGTAAATATGATTTTTTGAGATGGAAATTAGCCTTGTCTCTTCACATTTTTCCTTCTATTCTCTGCTAATGCCAGTATCAGAGTGACTTTAGAGTCCAGACCACTAGTCATATTAAGAAAGGACAGGTTGCCCTGGCCAGTTTGGCTCAGTACTTGGAGCATCAGTCTGCAGAACAAAGGGTCTTGGGTTCAATTTCTAGTCAAGGGCATGAGCCTGGGTTGTAGGTTTGATCCTGACCTTGGTCAGGGTCATGTGGGAGGCAACCAATCGATGCCCCCCCCCCCCACCTCCTTCCCTTCCACTCTATCAAAAAAAGGAATGGACAGGTTAACCAAGGATGGAATGGAAAGAACCAGCCGTTGCCTCAGTTTTCATTTGCATTTTTACATTTTTCTTCATCACCACCCCTATCTCAGTTAAGCAATACATACACTTCCTCCCTTAAGCAATCTAGTTGTGTGTTACTTCCCCCCTCTTGTGTCAGCAACTAATTTATCACTATCTGAGGAGACAAAAAGAGTGCTACTGAAGCAAGATGGTAGGCTAGTGGAACTGTCTAATTGCTAAGATGCCACAGAAGACAACATACTCAAAGGGAGGAGGGCAGCCTCAGAACATACAGCAACATTCCCAGCAGTATTCTTCTAAGCACTGGTTACATCCCCACCAGCAAAACTGAGAAAGGCATTTATGTCACTACCTCAGGCCTAGGTGTTGGCCTTCTCTTGGCTTGAAATGTGGCTAGATTTGAGTGAGAAAGATGTCTGTCTTTAGAATCTCACTGCTTTAGTTCATCTCTTGTGGGCCTGAGCACAGTTCTGGCACTGACTTACAGCAGACTGTTTCCTGAGACAGCTTGACTACATCAAATGGTTGTAAAATAATCTCCATTGTTATTAACTAATTAAACTTGCATTCAACACCATATGCTGATAGGATGAGGCAAAGGATAAGATTTGGATCTTAGATCTTTCCAAGTAGGCATGTTAGATGATGACCAGAGAGAAGGGTTAGTTTCAAGCTAGATCTGTGCTTTGGATGGGGCATCAAAGGGAACAGTCTTCACTGGAAGTGCTGGGGGGCTCCCTGAGCTCTGGTGCAAACTGCAAAGGTTTCACACAAGGAAGGGTATGATGTGGGCATAAAACCATTCTTCAGACAGTTGCAGATGATCCCCTTCTACAGCCAGAAATACTAGTTGTCCTGCATTGTCCATTTCTTTTAGCCCCAGGCGGTCCTGCAAAGAGAAGGCCATAATTAGAAGACAATGAAAAGATTTGGAATAAAAGTAAAGAAATAGAACCTGAGACAGTCTCAAAATGTATTTTCTCATAAGTATTAAAATTCAGGTGTATTGTCAAAAATGCCAAAAAGGATATCTTCTATTTTTCCCCCTAAGCATTAAAAATGTATGCAGTTGAGATTATTCTATGGGTTTATATCATGCTTTCTGAAGTTTCTCAAAGCTTCTAGAGGACAAGACTGCCTCAAAATGTCAGTTAAGCCCTGGCCAGTTTGGCCCAGTGGTTAGAGCATCGGCCTGCAGTCCCAAGAGACCCAGGTTCGGTTCCCGCTAAGGGCGTGTACCTCGATTGCAGTTTGTCCCCGGCCCTGGTTGGTCGTGCGGGTGGCAGCTACTCAATGTGTCTTTTTCATGTCAATGTTTCTCTCTCCCTCCCTCCCTCCCTCCCTCCCGCCCTCCCTCCCTCCCTCCCACTCTACCTGAACAAAAAATGGAAAAATGTTCTCGGGAGAGGATAAAAAAATGTCAGTTAAGTGGAACTGACCCAAAGACAGGAGAACATTAGCTCAATAACTTAAAATATCCAGCCCTTACATAACAAACCTGGGACACTTCTCATATCTTGCAGTTGAAAATGTCATTACTCATAACCTATGTGTTGTAGAACAAACATGGTGGGAAGGTGAGCAGTTAATGACCATGCCGGAATGATGCTTCTGTGGCTACCATCAGTTTGATTTTCACAATAAGGAGGTCCTTAGTTGTAATTTCCAAAACTTAACAGACCCTAGTTTCCCTTTTACCTCACCCAAGAGGGGCACCAAATGCAGGAGAAAAGTCACGAGAGGAGATAATAGGCTTCTGAAATTTGAAGAAATTCTAGTAGAAGGCAATTGGTTCAGACATACCACTTGTGCATTTTGGGGGGCATCTGACTCCAATATAAAATCTTGAGAGAGAGGAGCTGGAGGTGGTGAAATACAACCACTCCTTGAGAAATTATTACTGCTAAAAAAAAGTTCACAACTCTAGTCCCATTCACTCCTGCAGGAGGAGCTCCCCTTGTCAGTGCCTAATTTATTTAAATTTTTTTTCTTTATTGATATTAGGAAGAGAGATGGAGAGAGAGAAATACCAATGATCGAGAACATCGATTGGCCGCCTCCTGCATGCCCCCTACTGCAGATTGGCCCCACAACCCAGGCACGTGTCCTGACTGGGAATCGATCAAGTGACCTCTTGGTGTATGGGTTGACATTCAACCACTGAGCCACACCGGCCAGGCATCAGTGCCTAATTTAAAAACAACTTCCACATCTATTAATGTTTTAAAGTAACACCTGTCTTGCCCTGGCCAGGTTGGCTCAGCAGTTATAGCGTTGGCCCGCGGATCAAAGAGTCCCAGGTTCTATTCCAGCCAAGGGCATGTACCTCGGTTGCGGTTCCTCCCCAGGGAGGCAACCAATCGATGTGTTTTTCTCACATCAATGTTTCTCTCTCTTCCTCCCTCCCTCTCACTCTATCTGAAGCCTCGGGTGAGGATTAAAAAATAATAATAAAGTAACACCTGTCTCTTCTGTTTTCATTATGCCTAGCGGGGGGTGTTTTGGATTTGGTCCAGTCTGCACCTCAGCAAAGGAAGCCAGTTCTAGACCTTTTTATCAGAAGGAAGGAGTCAGAAATGATGTTGTCCCTTGGACATGCTTGCAAACCATGAGGTACAGGTTCTTCGACCTTCAGAATGTAGATTTCTGTAAACCAGCAACTAACAGACTAGGGCAACAGTCAGAAGCCTAACCAGCCTCATCCAGACATGGGCATTTACTGCTCTGGGCTGTACAGGACAGTCTATCACCCAAGAATCAGCAGTTTCAGGAGCTGGGAGCTGAAAAGGACAGCACCTCTCCTCACCCAGTTACCTGTGTGTACAGAGTGGTCTGCTGTAAGGGAATGGTTTCCTTGTCTTGGCCACTTCTGTAAAATCCAAACCACTGCAGGAAAAGAGAAAGAAATATGCAGATCAAGACACATGACATGCCAAACTAATTTTAAGTCTGGCTGGTAGCTAAGACTACTAATAAAGTGGCCGTCATGAAGGTGTAGTAAGGAGGAAAAATAGAATATGTCTTGAGTCATCTCTTTTTTAAGGATAGATCTAGAGAGATGAGTTAATCTTTCCAAAGAGCTTTCCAATTTCTGCTTCCTATAATTATTGAGCAGCTACCCTGTGAAAATCCTTGTGCTGAACTCTATAGACACTCAAAGATGAATATATATGGAGTCTGTTTTTCAAAAACTAGTCTCATGAGGCAGAGAAACAACTGTTTAGCAAGAGTTTCCATAAAGGCCAAATACAAAATATTTTTGGCTTTAAGAGCCACATGGTTGCCCTGGCCGGTTTGGCTCAGCGGTTAGAGCGTCGGCCTGCGGTCCAGAGAGACCCGGGTTCGGTTCCCACTAAGGGCACGTACCTCGGTTGCAGTTTGTCCCCGGCCCTGGTCGGTCGTGCGGGTAGCAGCCACTCGATGTATTCCTTTCACATCGATGTTTCTCTCTCTCTCTGTTCCTCTCTCTCCCTCCCACTCTACCTGAACAAAAAATGGAAAAATGTCCTCAGGTGAGGATTAAAAAAAAAAAAAAAAAAAAAAAAGAGCCACATGGTTGCAACTACTCAATGCTGCCATTGTAATGCAGAAGCAGCCACAGACACTATTTAAAAACTTGTGTATGGCTGTGTTCAAATGGAACTTTATTTACAAACACTGAAATCTGAATTTCATATAATTTTCATGTCATCGAATGTTTTTTCTACCATTTAGAAATGTAGAAACCTGGCCCGGCCTGTGTGACTCAGTGGATTGAGTGTCGTCCCATGGACTGAGAGATCCCAGTTCGATGTCTAGTCAGGGCATATGCCCAGGTTGCAGGCTCGATCCCCAGTAGGGGGCATGCAGAAAGTAGATGATCAATATTTCTCTCTCAATCGATGCTTCTCTTTCTCTCTCTCCCTTCCTCTCTCTCTAAAAAGTCAATAAAAAAAAAAAACCATTAAAAAAATGTCGAGCCCTGGCCAGTTTGGCTCAGCGGTTAGACCATCGGCCTGCAGTCCAGAGAGACCCGGGTTCGGTTCCCACTAACGGCATGTACCTTGGTTGCAGTTTGTCCTTGGCTCTGGTTGGGTTGTGCGGGAAGCAGCCACTCGATGTGTCCCTTTCACGTCGATGTTTCTCTCTCTCCCTCCCACTCATCTGAACAAAAAATGGAAAAGTGTCCTCAGGTGAGGATAAAAAAAATTTTTTTTAAGTAGAAATCAGTCTAAGTTTATGGGCCATATGAAAGCAGGTGGCAGGCTGGATTTGGCTTGTAGGTTGTGGTTTGCAAGTCCCTGGTGATGTGACGAGTGCTATAATACAGGCTGATCGATTCTAGAAAAGGGAGCAAGTTCTACTTCAAATGGGATGGCGTCCTGAATGAAGTGATTTGAATTTGGCCTTGAAAGGTGAATAGGAGCTTGTCGGGCGGAGAAGCCCAGGGAAGGGCATTCTAAGAGACTGAAAAGCTTGAACAAACGGATGCAAGAGAAAAAGCATATGCCAACTTTGGGGCATTTCAAGTAGTATAATGTGGTTTGATCAGAGAACATGAAGTGGATAGTGAAGGGAGATTAGGTTGAAGAAACAGATTGAAGCCAGGTCAAGGCAGACCTTCAATGTCAACCTTAGGGATTTATAGACTTTTTGAGCTGGTGGCTCTGAACTTTTTGTTGGGTCATAGGTCTCTTTTGAAAATCTAGTAAAAATTATAGACACTGCCTTAGAGGTTCAACTTTATCATTTTGCATACAACTCTCAGTGTCCCAGGTATAGACCACGGGTGAAGAACCCGTGCTCTACACAAAGGTTGGTGGAAGGGACTAAAGTTTTTGCCTAAATGTCATTTACTCCTATGGTCTCCTGGCACGTTGTGGCCCAAGCAGTGTCTCACCTCAGAATCCACAGGGTCCACAATGGAATCATTGAGGAATTTCACCATCACAAACTTCTTCAGAGCCATCAGGTTTTTCTTGTAGGACTCATTGACACCCTGTGGGGGAAAGGCCAGCAGTATCTCAGAGACATCACCATCAGGTTCCAGCAGGGGGATTAAAGCCTTTTAGTGCTCTGGTCTCCCTGACCCAGGACCAGGCTGCCATTTCAGCTTCCTCCCAGAATATACCTTGTACAGCCTTTTCTTAACATCCTATCTCACTGGCATGCCCCCACCAACCATGGAGCCACCATTAATCTGTCACTGCAATCCACAGGCATTTATCATATAGGTTAAAGACAGCAAGCCAGAGTCTGGCCAGTGTGGCTCAGTGGATTGAGGGTCATCCCATGGACTGAGAGGTCCCAGTTCAATTCCCAAGCAGGGCACGTGCCTGGGCTGTGGGCTGGATCCCCAGTGGGGGACATGGAGGAGGCAGCCCATTGATGCTTCTCTCTCTCCTCCTAACCCTTCCTCTCTCTCTAAAAAAATTAAAAAAAAAAAAAAAACTGTTTTAAAAAAGAGAGCAAGCCAGAAAAAGCCAAGGTAAAATAAAAAGCTATAAATTCTGAGTGGTTTTGCTATACTATTGTTTTTATCCCCCCTTTCAAAAAAAGTGTTAAAAAAAAACCCTCCAGATAAACACAATATAAATTGAGCCATCTAGTCCTGGCCAGTTTGGCTCAGCAGTTAGAGCGTTGGCCCATGGACCAAAGAGTCCCAGATTCGGTTCCCGCTAAGGGCACATATCTCGGCTGCGGTTGGTCCCAGGCCCTGGTGGGAGTCGTGTGGGTGGCAGCCAGTTGATGTGTCTCTCTCACATCAATGTTTCTCTCTCTTCCTTGCTCTCTCCCTCCTGCTCTATCTGAAGATAAGTGCAAAAATGTCCTCAGGTGAGGATAAAAAAAATAAAATAAACTGAGCCATCTAGTTTACCAGCATCTCCCAAACCATGCTTGTTTTTGACACACAGTCCCCTTTGCAGTCTTTCTTCTAAGTAAATCTTTTTTCTGAGCAAATCTGACCCAAAAGGGACCCACCAGGAAGACTTCCCTCAGTAAGACAGCAGTTGTGATGTTCCACATAACCCAGCCAGCAACCTGCTGAGCTGACGTGCTTCAACACGAGGAAAGGGGAAAAACCTAAGGGAAGAGAGCCAAATGCATTTCAGCCTCCCTAAAAGGAACTGAATCTCTGAAGCACTGGCTCCCCATCAAAAAACAGAACTTCTGTTCCCTGGGTTCTGCCTGGGATATTTTGGGTAAACAGTCACAGTCTTTTTATAAATGCCCCAAATAGAAAAATGAATGCACAACTACAGTAGCCTGGCTTGGATGCTTACTCTCTCCTGATTAATATCCGCCAAGAAGATGCTGTGGTTGCGGTACATGTCCTCCTTTATGGGGTCGTGCCAGTATTCTGCTTGCACCAGGCTGCAGGAAGAAAAAGGAATCAAGGTGACCAAGCTGCATTTCAGCATGCTCCTGTGCATAGGTCACCAAGAGACTTCAAAGGGACAGAAGAGAAAAGCCCTCAAGTCCTAGGCCTTGCCCTCTAATAGGAAGACAAGATGTCCACCTACCATACAGTTCATCACCTAGACACCCGAGGCAAGGATGTGCTATTTAACATAGTAAAGAAAGTCCTAAAGCTTAGGAAAAGGATTCCAGTAAAGTTCCCCTGTGCCATTGAGCTTTATCACATTTAATCATGCTTCTAGGACATGATGGCACATACTGCTCCCTCCCACAACCCCAATTGCTTCACCCTCCTTTGCTTTCTACTCATCTTGCAAGACTTAGCTCAAATCCCACCACTTCTGCCTCCTTCACCCGTCTATTTCCTCTTCATCTATCTTGCCATCTTCAGATTGGAATAGAGCTCTAACCTTTTAATCACAAAGCATTTATCATACTGAGTAATGATACTAGTTTTCAGGATTCTGGTATGTCATGCAATTTTTAAGGACAAAGGCAGTTATTTGGTGGTTACAATACTATTATTTCAGACACAGGTCAGCAGTTCTCTTCATACTTTTCAACTTTCTCTACAGTCTCGTTCCATTTCCCCTTCCTTCCCCACCAAAACTGACACCTCCACCCTAAGTCCTCCCAGCAGCCATTTCCCACTTAGTTCCTGCATCTACAAAGTGCATTCCAGCTGGGAAAAAAGGCTAAGCATGGACCTAATAGGAGAAGTCCTCTGGGGAAAGGCTGGAATTAGAACATGAGTGGGACTCTATCCCAGTTTGGCAGGAAAAGAAATAAAAATTTCTACAAAAGGAGCCCGCCTCAAGCCAGAGTGGAAGAGCTGCCCAGAGGCCGAGGTCCTGAAAGCGCCACTCAGCGCAGCAGGGTGGCACTAAGGTCCACTGGAACCAGCTATAGCAAAGATGATGGCAGCTCCTCATGCCCAGCAGACAGGACTGCGGTTAAAGGAGGCAGCAGTCGAATTGTCAGCAGCTAGAGTGACATATATAATCTGTTTACAAATGTATTTAAAAGCTTTTAAATGTTTAGTTTCTCCAGTGTTAAAACTATGATGAACTCTGAACATTTATAAAATACTGGTATTAGTAGTGGTCTCATCATTTTGTTTTAGTATTGTTACCACTTACCGTGTGACAGTATCGGACCTGTCTCTCCTCTACAACCCTATCAGCTCCTTAGTAGTGACCATCTGGCAGATGCTCTGCAGGAAGGGTTTGCCGAGTGATGTAGGGATGTCAGACAAGCTATGAGCAAAGTAGGCCTGACAGTGAAGGAGGGGTAGGATTCAGAGATGTGACAGAATAGTTAGAAGAACAAGGGAAGAAAAAGCTGAAGTGGGTGGTCAAGTGTCAAATGCTGAGAAATGATGAGCACTGAGCACACACACTTTTCACATAGGTGGCTGATCAAGCTTTTTCAGAAAATGTAAGTGAAAGAATACATAGGTCTTTGGATCTTGCCAGGCTGGGTTCTGGTGACTCAGAAGGGCAGTGGGGAGGCCTAATGGCTAAGGAAGAAAGAAAGAATGAAGGTCTGGCTGGTGAGGCTTAGTGGACTGAACATCCTCCCATGGACTGAGAGAGGTCCTAGTTCGATTCCTGGTCAGGGCACATGCCTGAGTTACAGGCTCAATTCCCAGTAGGGGGCGTGCAGGAGGCAACCAATCGACATTTCTCTTTCATATTAATGTTTCTATCGCTCTCTCTCTTCCTCTCTAAAAAAAAAAAACCAATAAAACATATTATAAAAAAAAAAGAAAAGAAAGAATGAAGGCAGTAATCATAGGTCAACTTTTTGTGTGAAAAGAAAATAGCTTAAAAAGGGGCGACATGTCCAGCTGGTGTGGCTCAGTGGTTGAGCATCGACCCATGCACCAAGAGGTCACTGGTTCAATTTCCCAGTCAGGGCACATGCCCAGGTTGTAGGCTCAATCCCTGGTAAGGGGTGTGTAGGAGGCAGCCAATGGATGTTTCTCTCTCATCGATGTTTCTGTCTCTCCTTCCCTTCCTCTCTCTATAAAAATCAACACAAACATTTTTTAAATGGGGGGGGGGCGGGGGCAGGAAGAAATGAAAGACATTTGGTTTTGTAAGAAGCCTGGTGCACATGGGACAGCCAAGGGGGAAGAACATGAGGATGAGCAGAAACTGAAGAGGTCAGAAGATGGGGAGGCTCTTTAGGAGGTGGACAGAGAAGAAACATGGGTTTATATTACTCTCTCCTTTTTTACCGCCGAAGGGCCAGATTAAGAGACCTTAAGTAACTCTCCCAAAGCTACACAGTCAGCTGTAGAAAAGATAAGATATGAGCCTAAACATGTCTGAATCTAAATTCTTTCCAGTGCAGCACATGAAGAGGCAGGAAAGGTCAGCTCCCAAGCCAGAAATCCCCAAACACAGGCCACCCTGGGTGAGATAAACTTCTACCCTCTGAGGCTCTAGCCACTGTGGCTTAGAGATTATAAGAGTAACACAGCACTTACCATATACCAGCCCTATTCTAAACATTTTATATATATTAACCTATTTAATCCTTACAAGAATTCCATATGGTAAGTACTATTATTATACTCATGTTTATAAAGGAGTCAACCATACTCGGAGTGACTGAGTAGTTTGCCCAAGGTCAAAGTGTTAGTAGTGAACAGGACACAGGAGGGGAAGACTGGGCTTTTCAACACAAGGATGTTCTCTGAAAGTTGTTTGTTATAATGAGAAACTGGAAATGATGAAATGTTTGCAATATGGAATCAACAAACTGTGAAGTCATGTAATAAAATGCCATGCAGCAATTAAGATGAATCAGCTTCATGTATATGTAATAACGTGTTTAGATCTCAGAAACATAATAGTGAGTGAAAAAATAATTTGTAGAATTAAATGCACAATAAGATAGCCATTACATAAAATTTTAAATATACCACATTATATTATATATTGATTGATTATGGATATGTACATACATAATACAAACTTTTTTTTAATAGACAGAAAGGCTATATTCTGATTTCTTTTATTATTATTTTTTTATCCTCACCTGAGGACATTTTTGCATTTATCTTCAGATAGAGCAGGAGAGAGAGAGGAAGAAAGAGAGAGAGAGAAACATTGATGTGAGAGAGACACATCGACTGGTTGCCATCCACACGACCCCAACTGGGCCGGGGACAAACTGCAACCGAGGTACGTGCCCTTAGCGGGAACTGAACCCGGGACTCTCTGGTCCGCGGGCTGATGCTCTAACCGCTGAGCAAAACTGGCCAGGGCTATATTCTGATTTCTTGACAGTGGTGGTCACTGTGGAGGAAGGGCAGAGAATGAGACCTGGGACAGACATACAGAAAAATTCAATTTTATCTGAAATGTTTCTGTTCTTAAAAACATCTGAGGCAAATATGACAAAATATTAATTGTAGGTACACAGTAGTTTGTTGCATTACTCTCTACACTTTTATGAACGATTGAAAGTATCTGAGGGAGCCTGAGTGGTTGCCTCAGTATTTCCAGGAAAGGGTGTGGCAAGTTGAGGGCAAAGGTGTGTGTGGGCAAAGTGGGATGACTGAGGGAAAGCACTCCGATAGCCATGGGGGTGGGCGCAGGCCCTGCAAAGAAGGGCAGGCAGCTGGGAGCCAGGACCAGAGAGAGGACCAATGGGAGAGCAGAGCTGGCACAGTAGAAGATGAAAGGCCAAGGCCAAGGAGACACTGTGGGGGGTGGCAGGGGAAAATGAGGAAGGAGAAATCAGGAAGAGCTGACAGTATCTCAGAGGGAAAATAGAGGGCAGATTTCAGTCACAAGGTAAGAGAGAGCTGTTACACTCCCCATTACTCATTGTCCCTACCGTGTCTGGCCAGAGCTGGTGCTTGAAAACACTTCCGCTCTACCCTGGCTCAGTTGGTTGGAGCGTTGTACCATATACCAAAAGGTTGCGGGTTCAATTCCCAGTTGGGACAAGTACAAGAGGCAACCGATCTCTCTCTTTCTGTCTCTCTGTCTCTCTCTCTTCCTCACTCTCTAAATCAATAAACAGTCTGGCCAGGTGGCTCAGAGGTTGAGTGTCAATCCACGCACCAAGAGGTCGCCAGTTCAATTCCTGGTGAAGACACATGCCCAGGTTGTGGGCTCGATCCCCAGTCGGGGGCGTGAAGGAGGCAGCCAATCGATGTTCTCTCTCATTGATGTTTCTGTCTCTCTCTCCCTCTCACTTCCTCTCTTAAATCAATAAAGGAAAAAAAATTTAATCAATAAACATATTCTCAGGTGAGGATAAAGAAATTTTAAAAAGCACTTTCCTCACTGTTTATTCAGGGTATTAAGATATCAAATTTGCGCCCTGGCCAGTTTGGCTCAGCGGTTAGAGCATCGGCCTGCGGTCCGGAGAGACCCGGGTTCGGTTCCCGCTAAGGGCGCGTATCTTGGTTGCAGTTTGTCCCCAGCCCTGGTTGGGTTGTGTGGGTCGCAGCCACTCAATGTGTCCCTTCACGTCGATGTTTCTCTCTCTCTCTCCCTTCTTCTCTCTCCCTCCTACTCTATCTGTACAAAAAATGGAAAAATATCCTCGGGTGAGGATAAAAAAAAAAAAAAAAAAAGATATCAAATTTGCTTTGCTATAGTTAAATTATCTGAACAGTGTAGAAGACATCTTCTGGGGTCTCTGCCTAAACCAAAACCGGTTTCCCTTGTGTGGGAACTGCACCCTTCCTGCCCCCACCTACCAGTTACAAGGCAGGTATGGTTAGTACTATGTGGTCCCACTTCTCTGGCCACAGCTACTGAGAGTAAGTGGGAACCTGACCTGAGCTGGGACATAGTCCCTTCCCGAAGAATTTGAATTGGAGCAGATTCCAGCCTCAGACTGAGATAATCTCCTTAACAAGCTGTGCCAGGCCGCCTTTCACCACAGCAGCAGAGGCTGGTCTGCATGGAGAGAAAAAGCAGCAGTAA